AGGTTGTGAGCTCTTCCTGGCCTGGGACCCTGCCTCATTTATCTCTCTCACCCCAGAGGTTACCCAAGAGTCTTGCACATGGTAATATTGAGAAGTATGTGTTTAATTCCATTAATGGAGGATATGAAAGCAACACCTATTTTTTAAATTTATCTCCACCAAATGCTCCCGTGAGTGTGCCTCACAGGTACCCAGTCAGATGCCAGTAGAGTGGCAGGTGAATGGTCCTAGGAAGCCCATCCATTGATGGGCTTAGCTCTTTAAGATCTCAACTGGACATAGGTAGGCCAGGAGGGCCCTGTGTGTGCTCCGGAGTGGGTGCTCAGGTTGTGTGGTTGATGGGGTGAAGTGAGATCACTCCTTATGGTGTGTGTGCCAGGGTAAGGCCAGACCCCCATGGGTAGCGAGTGAGCTCTCACCTGAAGGGTGATGTCATTGCTGGTGCTAATTACCTGGGGGAAAGGGAGAGCTCAGACCTCACCTCAGAATGGGACCTCATGCTGAACAGAGCTGTAACTGCTCCCTGGTCCTCTCCACTACCAAGGGCACTGAAATGTCTAGGAGCAGCTCCCAACCAAGAAATGGGTAGGTGATGGGACCTGAGGAGCCCTTGGCAGCCAGAGAGAGCTAATGGCCATGGTGAGTAGAATGGGGGGCGGGCACTGAGGCCAGGGGTGGTACAAATTAGGATGATCAGAAATCTGTGTCATGGGTATGAGAGTGGACAGTGCCATCTGAGCTTCTGTCCTGAGAGTTTGGGACAATCTTAGCAGGGTGCAGGGGAACCCAGGAGAGGGTCTGTGTGTGCAGACAGAACAAAGCCTTTAGTAAAAAATGGCATAGTAGTAGTGGCCACAGAACCCAGGACTTTCTGAGGGGAAAGGGAGGAGTGGTCTGTAGTTCAGCTGCTCCTTTCCATCAGGAGAATCTTATAAAATCTAAGTCTAGAGGTCCTGGGTTTGTGTCACCATTTGCTCAGCTGAGTACCTGCTCAGAGCCAGGTCCCTGCTGGGTCCTGGGACTCTCAGATGAATCGGCCAGACCCTGCTCCGGGGGACCATCAATCACAGCTGGCAAGCAAGGGCCACACAATCCACAGGGAGCTCTCCTGGGAGTGGGATGTAAAACACTTCCTGAGATCCAGAGCTGCCCTCTGGGGCAAACATGCCTTTATCAAGACCGTCACTTAATATCCAGGTCCCTGACAGGCATGAAAGGTGCAGAGAGCATGGGCTAGGAAAGTGGTCTTTAAAGCAAGGGCCATGGCTAATACAGGCCAGCAGGTCTTCAGTTGCAGACACAGAGGGCTCATTCCAGGAGACTCACAGAGCAGGTCACACTGATCACAGCTGCCCAGCTTCAGAGTCCCCGTGTCTAAAGCTTGTCCCCACACTTACTGTTCCTCCTAGGTTTCCATCTCAGGAAGGGAACCATTGCCACTCCACTGTCTGAGCCAAAACAGGGGCTTCATGCAAGACCTTTCCTCTCCCATCGGGTATCGCTAAGTCACTCATCTCTCCCTCTGTGAAAGTTCCAGACTCCTCCCTATGGCAGGATCTCGTGGTCTCCAGACTCCACCTGGCACTCTCCAAATCCGCCTTCTTACAACTTCCCTGCTTAAAGCACCCACTGGCTCCCCATTCCCATGAGAATGAAGTCTACACTGCTCCCTATATCATAACCCCCTCTGCCGCTCCACCTGCCCCCCAGTACGGCCGCACTGAATAATCTGCAGTCTCGAGTGGTGCCTCCCTCATGAGGCAGATGCACAGGTGTGTCTGCTGCCTGGAGAGCACTTTCTGCCTGGAGCATCCTTCACATACTGGTTCAGGTGTGGCCTCCTGTGTTGGTCTCCTTCTATGGGTTCCCATAACCCCTGTGCCTCCCTCCACAAATGCACCCAGAATACCTGTCTGTAAATTCCTTTCTCCATTAGGCTGCAGCTCCTTAGGGGTTATGATTATTATTCCCAGCATCTAGCACAAAGCCTGAAGGAGGACGGTGAAGAAGACAACGGTCAGAAACGTAGTCTTAGCCCATCAGTGAAGGTCTTGCTGACTCTCTGTGTGTTGCTTCTGTGAGTGGAAGCCCACTGGGATAGCAGGAAGGAGGCTGTGAGCATTTAGTAGCAAGGTCAGAAGCTGTCCTAGCAGTTCAGATAGCTCTGGCTAGCACGATTATGTTGGCTACGTGACAGTCAAGGTCAGGAGGAGAAATGCACGTAAAGCTATTAGGATGGACTCTGAGGGGCACTGAAGTGTTTGCAACTGGCCACAATGACTCTTAAGTCAAATGTGAATTTGAATCATGTCCAAATAATATTTGTTGAGGATCTGCTACACATCAGTTACTGTCCTAGGTGCCTAGGTGTTTTCACATAGCTTTTAAGTAGAGAGACCATAATTTATCCCCCAAACTGGGACATTTTCAAGAAGAAAGGGGACGGTGTTACCAAATATTCTAGGACCACAGTCATAAGCCAGGACTGCCCCCATGCAGGCTGGTACGTACAACCATCTTACGTACAGGTCACACTTGGTGATTTTTTTTGTAACCCCAGATACGGTTTGTAAATCTAAAGTTGTCAGTATTTACTTATTTACTATTTATTCCCTGACTAGGTTGCAAGGGTTAGGGCTTTGTCTATTATTAAAACCACCGTGGTTGATGTGTAGAAACTGCCTGATAAATACTTGTGGGAAGGAGGAAGGAAAGAATGGGGTAAAAGACTGGACCAGGGGCAGGGGAGAGAGGAAGAGACTGCGGGAGGGAGGCTGCTCCAGGTCAGCTTGACTCCCCGATTCGGGTTTCATGTCCTTGCAGGGGCCACAGGAGGGGACTTGCAGGAAGGGTACAGCTTAGACAACTGGCTCAGTGTCCGAGTGTGCTTATGAAGACCAGCCAGCAGACAATTCCTGTTCGTGGCACAAAGAGCGTCCTGACATCTGACATCCCGTGCCTCGGTCTCGTCTCATCTGTGTTCGGTAACAGGGCGAGCGCCTGGCTGTTTCTGAGAAGCTCAACGGATGCCGACTCACGATGGCAACAGCAGGCTGCAGCCTCCTCTGAGCGAATCTAAGCCCCTTCTTGCCATTCCTCCCCCAACCCCTCACCCCCCGGTTCTCTCCTCAGCAGTGGTCCTAACACACCAGCCACTTGTTTCGGTGGCTCCCACTCTGACACTTCTCCTGCCCGTGTCTTTTCATTCATCATGCCTCTGTCCTCCCTGTAACAGTTTCATGTCTATAAACCATAATGCATTTGGCATAACAGGATTTGCCATGTTCTGTCCAATTTAACTCAACAGATAGTTATTATCTATTATCAGCCAGTACACACACACACACACACACACACACACACACACAAGTAGGAGCTGTTCTCTTTTAAAAAGAGATGGCAGAAAAAGAAACACTGATTCTCTCAGGGAAGCAGCCCTTAACAGAGAGGTCAGGTTGTGTTGGGGGGTGGAGGGGCGAGGCAGGGCAGAACCCAGCGGACAATAGACCCTTCCTGAGGAATTCAGAAGCAGCTTGTCTTTGCCAGGAGAGCTGAATCCGGATGGCTTCGAGGGTTCAGGGCCATAAAAGGGCTGGGCAAGCACAGGTAACACCTTTTGTAGAGGAGGAAGGATGAGTTGGAGAAGGAAGCAAGTATCCTAAAGCTACGCTGTACAAGCTCTGACGTGGCGGGTGGGCTGAAAAAGACTTAGGAAAGCCAAGTTCAGAGGAGGATCAAGAAGACAGTTAACGATATAGCACCTGAGAATTTACTTTTCCCTCCACCCTTGCTCTAACATATGCATCTGTTTTGCGTACACGTTTTTGTCTCCTCCACCCCATTTCTCAGCTGAGCCCGGTATCTGTGAGGGGTGGTCAGTATAATGTTGCTCTTCAATTTAGGATCTCGTTTATTGGCATCTTTAAGGAGTTACACTGATGCGACCCTGAAATACACCAACTCTGGGACCTTTGCTGTCTCAGCAGCCGTCACTACCTGTCACCTGGTGGCAGCCAGGGGGTCCTAAAATCACCGTCATCAAAGTTGAGAGAGACTCAGGTGGAGTCTCAATACAATGGAGTCCCCTCCGTGCACCATTTTTGTCTGTGTCTCGGAGCTTGGAGCGGAGCACTTGTAGCCAGGCTCGCACGCCCACTTTGTCCCCAGGCAGCTCTGACCGCTGACGCGGTCCATTTTCCTGCGGGCCTTACTGCTGCCTTTGGCGTCCACCTGAAACGGTCTGTGCTGTTCTCTCCAGCGGCCCTTCAGAGAGAGGATGATCACCGTCTGCCCCCTTCCTCTAAGTTATGAAACCCCAGTGTCTTTTATGTCTCACAAAGTCTTGGCCCTATGAGCCAACTGGGTGTGGACAACCCCTGTCCCACTTCTCTGGGAAGAGCTTCAGCACTGCCACCACGTCCCCATGTCTAACCACGTGCTTCTGGTGAGCTTGTCCTGTCCTTAGTATCCTTGCCTCTCGGGCCGGGTTGACTGGCCCAGTGGTGGACATGTCCTCCACGCTAGACCCATCATAGCTTTTTGGAACTGGAACTAGAAAATGAGAGGGAGTCACTCCCTGGTGGTGGGAGCCACAGAGGTGACATTTGGCACGTGCTTCCCCCACAGGCAAAGGAGGCCAGTCTACAGTCTTTGATTCTATGAGACACTCTGGTACTCGTCTCGTAAGTTACCTATTTTGCTTAAACTAGTGCAAGTTCTATTTCTTTTGCTCGTAACCAAAGGGCCCAGACAAATGTGGGCCTGCTCCAGGATGTTTCCTCCGCCCCGTGAGACCTGCACAGCTGAGCCCAGTATGTGTGAGCAGCAGGGAAGACACCTGGGTCTGTCCGCTTCAGAGAAGAGATGAGCAGCCATGGCCCCTCCCTGGTTTTGACCCCATATTCCTGATTCGCAGCTTCTAGTGAACTTCCCCAGGATCACACTGCTCTTTCCCAGATCAAGCCAAAGACCAGCAGCCGCTGAGGCGTTCATTTACTCACAGGGTCGTTGTGCATCTGGATGATGAGCTGTTTCACCCCATGCAGGGTAGGGTGGGCCCACGGAGAAGGATCCAGCCAGTGGCGGTTCAGGTCGAATCCCATCAGAGAGCACCTGGGCAGCACCCAAAGCCAGAGTCAGTATAAAAAGAAGAAGCCAAGCTCCTCACTTACCAAAACATGGTTAGGAGTAGGTCTCATTATGTCACTCACCTGGCATTTGTTTTTTTTGCCAGAGACATTTTTAAGCATTTCACATGTATTAATTCATCGAGTGCCTTCTATGACCATATAGAGTCACTACAATTACAATGATCACTTTACATAAGAAGAAACTGAGTCCTAAATACTTCTGCTGTGGTCGTACCTTCCGTGTCCACGCTCTGAGGCCACAGATGCATGCACGTCTAGACAAGCCAGCAGAAAGAAACGCTCAGGCCAAGGCCACAGGTGTCCCCCTGTTCCTCTCTCATACCCAGCTGGCCCACTGTCTCCACTTGCAAAATACAGGCTCCAGCACAAATAATGTCCCCTCTTTATTATAAAATCATAAGCATGTAATTCTGTAACATAACAATATTACACTCAAGCACACCATATGGCATTTTAGGTGGAATGTTCAAATTAAAACTATAAGTTATTACACCCATATTATTACCCTGCTAACCACACTTAAGCAGGTGTTACTTCTGCTGAACCTGTATGTTCAGAAACTAACACCTTTTTTCACCTCCATTGATACCACTTTGAGTTTGGAGCAAGGTCCAGAGTACTGTAAGGTAATCTCTCATCTGCTCTCCTTGCTTCCACACTTGCATTCTCCTACTTCTTTAACCCTGTCTTCCCCACCCCCGCTCCATAGTTCAAATAGCCAGCGTGATCCTCTGAAAACATAAGGGAGGTTGTGTTCCTTCTCTTCTCAAATTGTTCCCTGTTAGGGGCAGAACAAAAGCCGAAGTCCTTACAACAAGGTACAAGCCCCAAATGGTCCGTCACTGCTGATCTCTCTGACCTCAGCTCCTACCACGGCCCCTCTTGCTGTGCCGGATACTGCCTCCTCCCTGTTCCTCCGACACACCAGGCTCTTCCTGCCTCAGGGCTGTGGTACAGGCTGGCCTTCTGCCTGCCATTGTCCTCCTCCAGATAGCTGAGTGACTCATCCTCCCTGTTTCAAATCTTTGATTGAATGTCACCTGCTCAGTGAAGGCTCCCCTGCCCACCTTCCCCCCCCACCATCCCTCGGGCATGTTAAAGACCTTCACTGGGGCAGATGTGATCACGACTGCTGGTTCTTTCTCTCCCTCCCCTTCCTTTTCTCACTCCAGATCTGCCCAAACCCTGCTGGTCCTGGCTGGAAGGTGCCTCCTCCAGGTCTCTGTTCCAAGGCCTGCTGGTCTGCTGGGCCTGCGCACACCACTGACAGTCTCCGGGCCGGCATAGGCCGAGGTACGGCCCCCAGAAGCCTGTGCTTGCTCCCCATTCGAGACACCACTCTCCTCTCCAACCTGTCCTCTCCCTCTCCCCAGAACGTCTCCCACACTGATCCGTCTTGCTTTCCGGGGCAAGAGTCATCTATGGCTCTTCATCACCTATGGGATGAAACGCTGTTCTTTGCAGACTTTTAACCACATTCGAAACAGATAATGGCCGTTAGTTCTTTCTCTGTCCAAATTGTCCCCCTCCGTTTTCTCTATCCTCCTGTTACACCGTTTGATCGCCTCCACCTTATCTTCCAAGCTCCTGTAGTTCCCTACGCAATACAACTTTATCCCCTCTGTTTACTAAATTTGCATCCCCACCTATCGCCCTTCTCAGAAAAATAAAGGACTCCGCCAGGCGGGGATGGTGGAGGCATGGTGGGGAAATAATGATGATTTCCTCCTGTGACTTAAAGGTACCTTGTGGGAGGATAACTAATGTTTCGTGGGGACACGTGGGGTAGCGCTGCATTGAGGAGGGGTCATTGGCTTTGGGCCTTGTGGAATGCATAGAATTTTTCCAGGCCTTGGGGGCAGAAGAAACAGTGTAAGCAAAGAGAAGAACTGGGAAGCCACCTAGGATGTTGGGAGAAAGGTGGGCCATTTGGTTTGACTGGATCATAAAGCGCGTGGTGAAGCCGTGGAGGGAGACAGAGGAGAGGGCTCGGAACGCTTGTCAAGGAGTCTTGTCATTTCGCCTTTGTGCTGCTGGACTTAGACAGGCCCAGTGTTGGTGTTGGCTTCGCATGGATGGCGGTGAGAACAGAGACAGCCCTGCGTGCAGGTTACGGCAGCCTCTCCATCACCATCGAGGGAACACAACTGAGCACCTACTGGCGTTGCTCCGCCCGGCAGTTAAGTACTTTACTAGGTCTGAAATGCTTCCTCTCAGCTGACCCGACCTGTGATGATAGAGACAGGCTCTATCATCATTGGTTGGGGCACGGAAAGGTTAGGGACAACTTGCCTGGAAAGGGGAGCTGTCAGGACTGGTGCACAAGGTGCCTGCCACCCCTGCCCTCAGAGCACCTCGTCCCGCAGGAGACAGAGGGTGTGCTCACAGGCTTCTGTCCGCTTATGACTTGGGACAGTGCTGTGAGGATTAAATGACAGAATACATAACCAACTTGAGCACAGGTTCTCGCACGTGATAGCAGCTCAGAAATGTCACACTGCTGTTTTATTGTACCTTACGATTGTTTTATACCACAACCTTTGTGAGTGACATGGCCTAGTAAGTTTGCAGTCCCCAGAGGGGGAGTGAACAGCAGACAGCAGCGGTAAGTGACGATGTCCTGTCTTTTCGTCCCGTCTGGGAGCTGGGTTCGTGCTCATTCTCTGTTCCCTCCCGATGCAGCAGCCATTGGTCCATGTTCTTTGGGGAATGCCCAGCGTCTTACCCTGTGATTCAATGGAGCAGGAGGATGGAGAGGGAGAGTCTGTCCCTCCATCGGCCCAAGATGATGAGCCTTCTCCCACCACAGAAGTCATATGGGCCAGGTGTTCCCTCTCTGGGACCTGGCGGCCCGGGCAGCAGCATGGAACCCGGCCTCAGGCAGCAGCTCAGGTCTTAAACTCGGACTGGGCGCCACAGGGCTGGGAGCTGGTTGCCTGGCAGTGCAACTGCGGAACAGAGGTGGGTTCTGCTGGCCAGCAGCTGCTTTCCTGCCCTCCAGGGCTACCCTGTTCATTGTTTGTTCTCCAAGTCTGGTTCTCCAGCTTTGGCTTTATTCCGTAAGTCCCTCCCTCTTCATTCCCTCTGTGCTTCAGTGGCTGGGCTCAGTTCTTGCTTTTTTAACTGAAAGGATCCCTAACCATATGGCTCTGTGGGCTGATTTATCAACAACTCCCATCAGATCCCTACACCATCCTCTTCTCGATGGCTCATCACCAAGCAGATGGGACCTTTGGTTTGGGTGCTGTGCCCACAGAGCTCTTCCATTCCCTACGGAGTATATAGATTTTTGAAAGGAACATCGTCTTTGCTAATATGACTTAATCCTTAACAACCACGTCCTTAGTGTCAGCTGGCCTACCTCTCCTTTCCTTCGCCTCCAAGTAGGAATGTCCTCTGCAATGTCTTGGCTGAGTCACCAGCCTGTTCATGACACTTCTGCGACCACCTCCCCACCGTCAGCATCCCTGGATAGCTCTGCTAGAAAAGTCTGTCTTCCAGTGACTCCAATCAGCCTGAGCCCTGAACCAGCAGAGTCACACAGAACCGCGGGGCTGCCATGTGAAGGCCAGGGGCTCTGGGAGTCACAGTCAGGTTTGAAGTTGGGCTGTTCTATTGGCTGTGTGACCTTTAAAAAGTTTCTTCTTAAAAAAAAAACCACTTCTCTGGGCTTCTGTTTTATATATGTATAATGAGGATAATAACCTTGACCTTCTGGACAGCGTACCTTAACTAATGGCTGTAAATGGTCCAGCAGAATCCCCAGAAGAGTGACTGTTAAATAAATGGTAGCCAGTGATGACAGTGGCCATGGTGGGAATGGACAAGATGACCTTCAGGTGCCAGTCTCTCACTGAGTGTGAAATCCTGGGTCCCTGCTCGGGGTCTCTGTCTCCTTATTGCTCTTCTTGTCTGTTATCTATTTTTAAAGTTGAAATATCTGCATAAGCTCAAAATCAGGACCTGTGTCCTGACATAAAGGAAGTTACTGATGGCATCAATGAGTCAGAATATTTGACATTAGGACCATTTTAGAAAATCCAAATTTATGGAAGTCAAATGTATATATAACTGAACAATATGACTTCTTTCTCTGGTGTCAGAGATACTCTTGAGTATCTTTTCTCTCTCCTCCCAAACTGTGTGCCCAGTGAGGGCAGGGACCCTGTCTGAGCCATCTTGCCTACCTCCACTCCAGCTTACCTGCTACAGACCCAGGTGGAGAGAACGTTCAGCACATTTATTGAATGAATGAGTGAATGAGTAGATGCACAAATGCATTAATAAATGTCCTGAAGGTCTGCAATCAAGGTTTAGCTAGTTACTTGAAGACATAGTTTGAAAAGTATTTAAGTACCTGTTACATGATAGACACATTTGTAATAACCAAGTGAGGTAGGTATTATTTATCCCATTTTATAAAAGAGTGAATAAAATAAAGCTGAGATTTGACCTTGACAAGGTCACTTGGCAGCTTCTAGGATATAGAGCTGGGATTTGAACCCAAGTCGTATTGATGCCAGGCTGGTCGACGGTGACCCTTTGAAGTCCCCCCAGCTACTGGAGAGGCTGTGTGATCCATGAAAAAGACACCGAGCTGCTCCTTTGCTCTCCCCGTTCTGTCCTGGCCTCTCCTCGGCCCAGTGGCAGAGACACAATGGTCCCAGAGGCCATTATTCAAATGGCAAATAAATAGCCCCACCCAGTGAAGGGCATCGTGCCTCATCCCTGTTGCAATAATGGCAGCCAGAATGAGAGCAATGATTTTAATTCCCCTCTTTATGATTTCCTTTTCATCTCCTGTAAAGGATGGAGGAGAAGGCAGCTCGGTGGCTCCGGATCAATCTTGTTCTGAGCACTGGGGGGCTGCCTGCGCCTGGGAGGGCGGCATCGACACGCAGAGATGTATGGGCTCGCGTGCAGGGTCCCTCGAACGCAGCCGTTTTTCAGCATTACCAACGA